AGTGTTCTCAAAGCTGGTAAAGGTGCAGCTAGTTTGAATGACTTTGTATACTGCTTGTGGATTTACTCCAGGTGGAACTAAAGTCTGATTTAACACTTGATTATTTTTCACATCATTCATCCACATCTGTGAAGTAACTAAAGGTATTAAATACCATTTTCCTCTGAACTGTAGAGTAGTAGAAGAACAAAGTAGCAAAACATTTAAATACTTAGGTACAATGTTGAGATACTTGTACTTTACTTAAGTATAGTACTTGAGTTTATGAATTTAGTTACTTTACACCAGTGGCTATAAAGATAGAAAGACTAAGCCTTGCACAGAGGCATGAAAATACATTTTCAAAATGCTCAACAGTGCTGCCAAAATGATAACCTGACTGCTACACAATTAAAATAAATGCTTTTATATATTTCTATTAGACGTGACTCTTTAGCGTTTCTGTTAGTATTACCACTGCTGCTTTAGTTGTTCTGACTGCTAAAATCCTCTGTTAATCCTCATTTTAAAGCCGATATTCCGTGGGGTCGGGGCTCGGATCCTTGTCACCTTTTTCATACCTGATGAGTTTGCATCCCTGACTACAGTTGCTTTAGCATGTAGAAGCTAGTAAGCCTACTATTTGATTTGTTTTAGATAGGCACTACATGTTTCATATGCTGACCTTATTTTCCTGTTCCATGTTAAAATAAACCATTTTCAGTGGTACATACCGCTGAGAAAGAGTCATTTTTTTCAGTCATGGAAAATTAGGTAAAGATCATGGAGAAGTCATTGGTGAAAAAGTGTATGAACCGTGGACGTAATATCGGAAGTGTAAGCTGGCTTTGCACCCACGGCTCTACCAGAAACGTTGCTATCAGAAACAATGCCCGACTGTTTTGGTCGTAATATGGTCTGTGCATGTCACATTAGCATCGCTAACACTCAGAGCTAACCTGTACTGGAGAGCATGTGTGTGAAGAAGCAGGAAATAAAAAGGAACTCACCTTGTGGTGTAACCGGCAAGAGAGAAAGCCTTTGAGCTCCAGCTCCATACTGTTTCAGAAATAATCCTTGATAAACCATGATATAGCGTTTCATCACCGGTAGAATCTCCCACATGAGCTCCGCCCCCTCCTTTTTTTTTTTTTTTTAAGCTTTATACCCCAAATCAGCACTTTTTGAAACAGGAAGTGAAATGGAGGGATATGAGGCATGGCTAGAATGGGTGATCTGTTTGGTTTTTGAGCAAAACACTTCATAGACATGTTTTTTATATATGTTTATATATCTGAGACCTATGCTATTGCCTACAAATAGAATGATAGGTCCACTTTAAGCAATTTCTGATTCAACATAGGTAAAACTGCTCAACACAGCACAAATCTGTAATTCATATGTTTTTGTTTGGCTGAAAAGTAAAAAGATCACATGACTGATTGTTTGTTTTACTGTTTTAAGACATTCGAGGGTCACGATGCATCAGTTCTGAAGATCATCTTTGTGAGCCGAGGCACCCAGCTGCTCACCAGGTAACCCCGCCTAAATTCTTATGCAAAGCTTTTTTTATATCCCATTTAAAAGTATTTTAAAGAGAATAGAAGTGTATATCTAAACAAGCCTTCTTAACTACGCTCTGTCTTCAGTGGCTCGGACGGTTTAGTGAAGCTGTGGACAATAAAGACCAACGAGTGTGTGAAGACGCTGGACGCCCACCAGGACAAAGTGTGGGGTCTCCACAGCAGTCAGAAAGACAACAAGATTGTGACTGGCTCAGCAGATTCTAACATCACCGTGTGGGTGGTAAGTGTCTGATGCTGACCTGCTGATGTGTGTGAAGCTGTCTAACTTCTAAATACATATAAGTACAGGTTGTCAGATTGTTAAAAATAAGAGTCTTTACAGCCAGTGCGTTTCCTCTCCTACCTTTAGATAATTTAGCTTACAGGATGCAACAAGTTCACAATTGTTCTTTTAATTTGGTCTCTGTGGCAGCTAATATCTAACCTGCTGAGTAACACTTGATAACGTTGAGTCCACATGTTATTTAGTTGTTAATATTTAGCTGACCTTTCACTGTAAATAATCTCTTTCTTCTGAAGGGGGAAAACTTGGAAAGTCCCCTGCAGGGAACAACATATAACCTCAAACATGTTTCTCTTTTGTCCACTGCTAGGATGTGACTGAAGTGGAGCTGGCCGAGGAGCAGGCCAAGCAAGAGGATCAGATACTTAAGTAAGTTACACACAACATTGTCATTTTAGAGGTCCTTAAACAGATGTGAGAGAGTAGGCTATCACATTGTTATCAGCCCTCCATCCTCCGACTAATCACTCAGACTGAGATTGTGGACAAACAACATTTTGTTGTCTGTTTGCTGGAGGTCAGAGATCCTGGAGGGATAACTCTGTCCCAGCTGCTGGTCCCCCTTGTTAAAACATCCTGTCAGCCAACTAATAAGCTGAGCCTGTGTTAGACGAAGGCGTACCGCTCTGGGTCACAGGTCCGGCGGTGTGTGTTCTGATAAGAAGAGGGACATTTTGGGGTCAAATACGATTGATTGTGTATATGTTTAATGAAGGTATATGTTTGCCCACTGAGGAAAGCACACATGCACTCTGACATATGGGTTCATAATAACGAGGGCCTAGGTAACAGATACATTATTATCAGGTGGGTGTTCTTCGTGGAGAAGTTGTCTGAATGCCTTTCATTTGTTTTGAAAGACACATAGATATAGAAACTGATACAGTCAAGAAATGTTAATGTGAAAAGCAGAACTTAATGTACATTTCACTTACTCGTCAAAGCTTAACCGAGCTTGAGGCACATATAACTGTGATTTGCCTGTATTGAAAATAACTGTGATATTAAAAATATTAAATATATATAATATAAAGCTATACATATAATAATATTGTGTGAATAATCAAGCAGCTAAACAGAGAAAATTGAGATCTTCCTCGGGACGTCTGGGATTTTGTTGTTGTTTATGATATTTGATTGATTAACTAGTGTGTTTGTTGTGTCTAAAGGCAGCAGGAGTTGTCCAACCTGCTCCATGAGAAGAAGTACCTGAAGGCTCTGGGTCTGGCCATCTCTCTGGACCAGCCTCACACTGTGCTCAACGTCATCAAAGGTACTTTGAACCACAACATCTTCATCTTCTGGTCTAGGTTGACCGATGGACTATAAGAGCTGACAGGAACTGAGGGGAGAGGGAATTAGGAAGTTTCAGCGCCTTAACCATTTAGCTGCTGGATGCCCCCATTCCACTTTCTCTATCCTGACAGTTACTTGTTTCTTGCATGCACATGGTGTCCACAGGTTTTTTTGGTTTTATTCTATTTATTTTGTTCCACGTTATGCCTTCTCTGTGCACATTGCATGTCTCTTCTTACAGTTTCACCTTCGGTTATCTTGTCAGTCTGTCGTTGTTTATTGTATATGACTGCTCACTTTAGAGAGTCACTGGAGCATTGTTCCAATCACAACACACCCCTCTGTCAAAGGTTCCGCCTGTGAGCATGAAAACAAAAAGCTACCTTTATTCCACATTGTTCCTGCTCTTTTGTCCATTTGACACACAAAACAAAGGTACAGGGACGTTTTGTCAATCTGTTTTTTTAATGTGAGCAGTGTTATGAACAATCTGTTATAAGCAAAGTTATAGGCAGTGTATGTCATATAATAATAGTCAAAATATTCCTTACTTCCCAAAGATGTCAATTTTAAAGAGATATACAAGCAATAAAAATAGGAATGCTCCACACTCCAAATGATCATTTGTGTATCAATTACTACTTGCTTTTGGTTTTTCACACATCATTACACAATCGTGAGACTGAATGCAGAACTGTTTTAATTAGTAAGGTTTTTCTTCCGAAAATGCAAGTACTTCAGAGAGTGCTCAGCATAAGCATGGATAAATGAGACTTGGAACATACTGCTTTAGTCGTGTAAGGGTTTGCAAATGTACATTGTTTTCTGGTAAATGCAGCCTCTACACTTATGTAGTGTAACATGAGTCTTTGAGATCCCATGTCAGCAAAGGCCGATGCATTCTTAGTTACACTGTAGAGAGGTAGTAAATAGAGTTATGCAAGGATGAATTGTGCCAAACCCAGGTGTACACATACAGCAGTGTCTGGTTTCGAATTCTCTAAATTGTTTATCTTAAAGTTTCCAAAGAGAGGTATTAACTATCTAATTGTATTTCCTTTATTTGGGTAGGTAAACTAAAAGTTATATAACATATTAATTTTGGGTTGATGTAAAGGACAGTGACACATTAAAACAACCCCCAAAAAAAAGGCTATACACTTCTGTCTCCAGAAATCCTTTTTTTATTCGACATGGAAATGATCCACAATGTCTCAACCAAAAATGATGACATTAAACTCAATATATTAAACGCCTCTGCCAGAGGTCGCGTTAACCGAATATTTTCCGTCTATGAAGGATTTATTTTAACAATGACGGAAAAATCTGAAAGCAGTTGGTCATTTTGACGGATTAGAACAAACTCGGAACAGCGCCAATGTTTCCCCGCAGCGAGGCTCCGGTGTTCTGCATGCCTGCCAAAAAGGAAATNCCCCCCCCCTCAAGAGTGTAAAGGCCGACGGGTAATACTGAATTGTGACGGAAATGTTACGATCCTGTCCGTCAAAATGACGGGCAGTGAAAAAGTCTAGCGCAACCTCTGCTATGAAAGTTGTTTCAACCACTGATTTTCTGCTGTGTTTAACATGTTGTTCTCGAATGCTTACAGCGATCCGCCAGTCGGAGAATGGCCATGAGCTGTTAGAGAAGACGCTCCTGAAACTCAGGGTGGATCAAAAAGGTAACGGATCAACAATATCCTTCAACATTTCTAATTATGGAATACAAAAGCTAAATGAAAAAACGTCTTTAAGCGAGGTAGACGAAAGAAATGAATCTGTCTCTTCTCTTCGTTCCCTTTCCACCTTCATCATGTGACCCTGTTTTGACTTTAACTCCACTCAGAGTCGCTCCTGCGCTACTGTGTGGTTTGGAACACCAACGCCAGAAACTGCCAGAACGCCCAGGCCATCCTCCAGGTGCTCCTCACACACCTGCAGCCCGAGGAGCTGCTGCAGTACCAGGGCGCCCGAGCCCACCTCGAGGGACTCATCCCATATACAGGTGTGTGTGTGTGTTTCCTGTTACCAACCTATCATTGCTGGGCCCCTTCACCTCTGGTTCCTATTTGGAGCCAATAAACACATCCCTCAAAAAACAAAGAATGGGTAGAATAATGTTTTGAGGAGAATCTATCCCTAATCGGGGAATCTAAAAAAAATAGCGTCATGAAATAGGTTGATAGCTGGGATCACATGCATCAATAAGGGCCACATAGGTGGGATTGAACTCGACTGCTGCTGGAAGTACATGAGACGCTTTACTAGGTGGCGTACTCCGAAACAGGAAGTATTTGTCAAAACAATTACTAAAAGAAGTGGATGTTAACATGACGGTATTGTGTTGAAGCAATCCTGTTACCCATCTCATTATTGCTGGGCAACTCTACCTCTGGTTCCTAATTTTAAATTCTGATGTGTGTATGAAACCCTCTGTAACTGGTTACCTCTGTTGCTCTGCCACAGAGAGACACATGCTGAGGATCGGCAACCTGCTGCAGGCGTCCATGTTCCTGAACTACATGTGGCAGAAGATGAGAGTGGCCGGAGCACCAGCCAGGTGAGGTTCAGACCCAAAGCAGCCCTGCATTAAAACAGCGCTTCAGGCCATGTTGGTTAGCATGTCGTTTATGATACCGGAGAGACAATTAAATATGATCAAGGAAATCCAGCTGAAGTTACAGAATATAACAATTGAAGACGATAAAAGCAATTGGCAGGAGTTTATTATATGATGAGACATTTAAGAGTAGAAATAAACAGCTCACCTTACAAAGTGATCTACAAGCAATGTGCGCCTGCATGTTTGTGATCACTTTGCCAGATGACATTATCTTGCTTTGCACCAAAACCTTTCTCCTGACAACATTGCATTTTTTTTTACTTGAGCTCTGTGGATTTGCATCCTCTGCTGCGCTGACAGACTGGCTCCAGTTAGTCTCACACACTTCATTTCACCTCTTGGCTCACAGATGGAGCTCAGTGACGTCCTTGTCTTCCTCCAGTAACTATTGCAAAAAGTGCAATCATTTTTTAGTTCAGCACAATGCGTTCCTCGTGCTTGGTAACAAGATATTGTCGGTCAAACTTGACATATATTGTAAATCCAGGTGAGGACTCAAACACAAAGACTGTGGGTGTTTTCCAGTCGAAGGAGAAGGAGGAGGCAGTGAAGGTTGCAGAGCATCATTCTCTGACTGCATCAGACTGCAACATTTCTTTCTACAAAAATGTCAGATATTTAACTTTCAGATTGTCAAAGTGCAGTGCATTTCAAAGTAAAACAAATACCAAGATACTTAATGTAAATGATATCGGTAACAGAAAAGCTCTGAATGCATTATAGTTGTTTGTGTTTTGTTTCTTTGGTTAAACATGTTGATTGTGCACTTCATACATCTAATCCCCGTTTGTAAATCCTATCTAGCATGGGCCAAGATGAAGACATGGATACCACTCCTCTTGCACAGCCTTTCTTTATGATTGACAAGGAGAAAGGAATGGGCAGCGACGGTGAAGAGAAGCAAGATGGGGATGACAGTGATGGTGGACAAGATGAAGATCTGGTTAAAAAAGAAGAAGATGAGGAGGACAATGAGGTCAGTGCCACCAATAAATCAACCAACAACAACAACAACAACAACGGGGGAATAGCAAACGGAAAAGGCGCCAAAACAAATGGCAACCACCACTCTGAAAGTGAGGAGAGCTCAGAGGAGGAAGACCCCGAAGAAGAGGATCAGACAACTGTAAAGGTGGTGAAATGTCTCCCGGTGTCTTCCGCTCCAGAATGCCAGACTTCAGCCAGCTGACAGGGGTCTCAAAGCTGATAACTGATGACTCCTGGAGGAAAGAAAAGGGGGTTGTCTCATCTCGGACCATTAGCTGGTGTGACACACTGACTGAGTGTCAGTGTGTGAAGAGACGCAGAGACAGAAGTGGGATGATAGTGATACAGATAATAATCCTCTCTGTGCATTCCTAAGTCTCATGCCAGTCACTGAGTTGTGCTTTTTCAGACAAAGTGTACTTTGGTTGGAACATAGGAGAACCAGAGCTGCAGTAAGGCTGTGTTATTCCCCCCTCCCTGCAGACACCAGCCGCTATTGTCTAGCTCTGCATAGACCTGATCTACCGGTTCAACCACAACAACAGAAAATGTTCCTCCTATAACCACAGATTTTTTTATGTCATGACTACAAATGTTTATAAAATAAAAGTCTGTTTTTTGTGATTTAAAATGAGTTACATTTTCATATAGTCATGTATGTTTAGAAATTCCCAAATTAGTAATTTGCATTCCAAGTGTTAATTGCTTAGTGTGAACATGGTGAACATTCCTGTTGGGTGTGTTGGAGCTTAGCTCTGGTGGTGTACGTCATGAAGTGAATTGTCTTAAGGATTAGTGATACACCCAAAAAGTTATTTGCATAAAGGTGATGAGACTTGATTTCAGACTCATAAGCACGTACAGCTTAAACCATGTGCTGTCAGTCTTATGTGACCCTAAGACAAAACTAGAATAACCAGATGCTTGGATTGTGGTCTGTGAACAGATGTGTCACAGAACAAACAAAGATGCTTTCACCAAACTGAAACGGTGTGTAGTTAGTTGAGAGCAAAAGTTAGAAGAATGGCATGGGTTTCTGCAAGGGTGCCATAAGTGGGGGCCGCTTGCCGTTCAACCTTTTGTCCCTGGCTCCTATTTTGCATCATGTCTGGTGCAATCTCATTTTAGCATATATGCATTAATGAGTTATCACCATTAACGTTTTCGAACCCTCACAGAGACCTTGATCCTCAACCCCTCCAAAAGTCGCATCAGTTCATCCTTGAGTCCATGGGGACGTTTGTGCCCGATTTGAAAATAATCTTTTAAGGTGTTCCTAAGACATTGCTTCCATGAGGATCAGACAGATAGCCCTTAAACAGAATGCCTTGGTGGTTGCAGAGGCATAATGCGCAATTTTGTAATAGCTGAGGCGGCAGTCACACACATTTTTTAAATTTATTTAACCAGATAAAAAAGAATTGAGATAAAATCTCAATTACAATTCTGACCAGGCCAAGAAGGCAGCAACGTTACACATAAAACAACACAAACATATAAAATACAGAGAACATAACTAAGAAAACAGAAGATGAAAAAGCAGTCACTACATTGTGCACATTAGGACAGTAAGAAAGGTACACTACTTATTACTGCAAGAGCAGCTGGTGGTAAGGACCTCAGACAACTTCAATGTAAGTGCCCTCAGTTTAAGGCTTGATTGAAGGTCATTCCAAGACCAAGGACCATAATAAAAAAGACTCCTTTTTCCAGCCTCAGTCAGCACAACCGTATCCCAGGCACTGGATCTGAGGTTGTAAGAGTCACAAACTGGAGCAAATCTGGCACATATGTACAGTGGAAGCTTACCTAAAATGGCTTTATACATTAATAAAAACCAATGCTGCATCCTATGCATACTAAGTGAGGATCATTCAGTTAGGCTATACAGTTTGCAATGATGAGTCCTATAGGGTGCATTTGAAATATATCGCAGTGCAGCATGGTAGAGTGGGTCAAGTTTGGCCAAAACAGTGGGACAGGCAAATCTATAAATTGTATCACCGTAGTCAAGCTGGGACAGGAATAAGCCAGAGACCAACCTTTTACGGGATGAAGTTGAAAAACAACATTTAAGTCTGAAAAGGAAGCCAAGAGTGAATTTGGTCGAGGCCATCAGGCCCGGCAGACTTTTTAGGATCAATTGAGTGCAAACCCTGTAAGACTTCAGAGACCGAGAAATAAGCTAAATCAAAACAGGGGAGTTCATCCTGGAGTTCTGTCCATCGAAGGTTGGGAAAAATGTTATGGACTGACTGACAGAGCGAACTATACAGCTTAAAGAAGATCTTGAAGCAAGACATATAGAGTTTACCCAAAGTATTTTTATTTGTTCGAAGCTTTTGTGTAACAAGAAAATACACTCAAGATTTAAATGGTCAGTATATTCTGTGTTATTGACACAACCTATTACTATATACAAGTTAATTTAGCTGTAAACATGCTTGACCAGGAAACAAAATACCCACATACTGTTCACAATTCAGATAAATATTTACTTTTGCTCCAGACACAAGAACACATCTCTTTCCCTTTCTCTCTGTGCACTCAGCGCACTCAGAATGCATACAAGGTTTCCAGTATGGAAAATAAATCATTCAAAACAGAGTTAATTAGCGCATTATGAATGTTAAGTGTTTACAGATTCATAATTTTGTTAATATATCTTCTGCTTATGCTGAATACCTTTGTCTATGTGTATACATGTACACAATCAATCTTCAAAGATCATGGCAACCACAACAACAAGACTGTTTGACAACTAATATTCGTATGAAAACAAACTCAGCAGGAAAAAAACGTGTTGGCATAGCTTCACGGGTACCACATTTTCCCACAGTCACCTCAGTACAAATGATACATTGCCTGTAGTCATAATAACAAAACTACTCTTAGTTACATTCTGAACACATGCTCACCTCACTAGGGAGTTTTATTTGCAGAAATCAAATAAAAATAGCAGGAAACGGTATTTCGATCTGTCTGTACACACAAACTGAAAGATTGACAATAAAGTTGACTTTGAATTTGACTAAAGTCCTTAATTATACAAATTAAGTTAACACACACTTCATCGACTTAATATCTCAGTCTGTGTGGGCGACAGGCCTCGCCTGGCTGCGTTCTTGCGGGTGACAGTGGTACAGCGGGTGAGGATCTCCTGGGCCCGCGGTCTGGGGGGCACTTTAGGTGTTGTCGGAGTGCCCTTGTAGAGGGTGGGATCAGAGACACTGGGGGGCATTTTCCCCTCTTGGCCACTTGTCGGGCTGAGGCGGTTGCTCAACACGGGGGGAGGCGTACGGCTGAGACGCAGCTCCTGTTCGTTGTAGCTTTGGCTCAGGTTGATGGACGAGGAGCTCGCCCAGGAACTGTTGAGGTCCTCGCTGAAGCTGCTGCTGTCGCTCAGACTCCCGTCGCTGTCGGCCTGCAGGCTCAGGGGACGAGGCTCATCTTCTCCGTCCATCTCCACCTTGATTTTGGGCAAAGGGAAAGGCTTTGGGGTCCTGGGGGAGGTGTCAACGTCGGTGGAAGAAGTAATGCTTGCTGCAGACGGAGCAGCAGGAGGATGATAAGGCTGGATATCAATAGATTTTGACCTCTGCTGTAGAAGTGGTAGTTGCAGCTTGGGTTTGGACGATCTGGCAGGAAGTTGCAGCAGGTTGCCTTGAGAGAGGCTGAGACCTTTGGACTGCTGATCCAGGGACGGCATTAGTTGGTTCGGGGAAGAGTTGCGGCGATCTGGATTGGTGGCTATCATGTGGATATGAGGGGGTTTGTAGGGCTTCAAGTACATGATGGGGATGTAGCCTGCTTTACCATTATATCTGTTAAGAACGACAAAGTGGAGAATGTAGAGGGTTAACATTAGAATGAGTTTTGCTATGCATGAGTATTTCCAAGGATGCTTTCACACACACTTTTCATAAATTATTTAGAGGACCAGTGCGTTGAATTTTGGTTGAAAATGAATGCACTCTTCCATTACGTTTGCACCTTAATTGTTTCAGGAGCCCAGAACAGACAAACCAACATGCTCCAGAAAGGGCCTTCTGAGAGTTTACGTTACTTAAAAGCCACCCTAGGTTTTCTGACAAGCCGTATTTAAGTTGGTTGCAATCTAAATCTAGTACACTGGACGATGTTTAAATGTTTAGTGTTAAATACCTGACGAGCCACCAGCCGTTATCAGACTTCTGCAGGACTTCCACCACAGCACCGATGGCCACGGTTATCTCGTCATCCTTGGTGGCCTTGTAGTTCTTGACTGCATTGTATAGCATTCCTGGAGTGAAAGAAATGTCTTTAATACAGTTTTTGTTGCACCTTTACTTACATAACCAACAATGTTCATCCACATAAGTACTATAGTAAAGTACAGTTTTTACATATTTGTATTTGAGTATTTCCATTTTACTCTCTAACTGTGCACAGCACGTTAAAAAGGAAATTATTATACCCCCTTACATGTATTTGACACATATACTTTATATTTCCCTTTTACACAAAAAAACCCATCTCTGCTTGTATGATATAATGCAGTAAAAAGCTGCTGCTTTACCCAGTAACACACAAAGTATCAAAACTTAGTTCCACACTGACAGACTAAAACATTATAATCCTCTTAATGAGCAATTGTGATACAAAATAAATAAATAATATTCTATCCTATTTAAATACAACACTGTGAAATGAGCCATTCTGCATAGAGAGCACTTTTAATACTCCAAGAGAATTTTGCTGTTTGCTGTCTATCTGTAATTTGACATTTTGAGGGTTTCTACAACCAACTTTTTCTACTTTCACTTTTAAAAGTATCTAAGCCTTTGCTGTGTAAACAAGCTGTGTGTTGATGGTCTAATGTTCTGATTGGGTACAACTATACTGTACTTATGCACATACCTCTTTCAGAATTCCCATCTATTTCATCTTCATCCTCAGCCTCATCGTCATCCTCCAGTTTATCCAGGTAGGGGGCAGGGAACCAGGCCATCTTCTTGCTTTCATTCTCCACAAGCCACCACCCTAAACCAACAGGATTTCACATTTAACAGATCTCAGGGTAATGGGTTGTTGAGGTCAACCATTAACAGGACTCTGAGGCTCGCTCACCTGCTTTGTCTTTGATGAGAACATCAACTTTTTCGTCCAGCGCCACTTTGAAAGGCTTGTTCTTGGTGTCTTTGGTCTCGTAAGGAGCCACACACCTGTACGTCTCGGTGACAAACGGCTGGGTCACGTTCCCCACGCCCTGACCCTGTCCTGCATCTCTGATCATTTCATCCTCTGCTGGCATGATCATGATGCTGAGGAAGAGAGACAAAATTATTAAGAATTAGGCAGAAAAACAGAGCAGCTCATTGAAAAGTCTAAATCGTGACTTCTATTAATAATCTGACATACTATACATTTGTTGGATTGTGGACTAGTCAGGTTTTAATTTAAAGGCTCCTGGTGCAGATCCTACACTTAACATGAACAAGGGCCTCATGCTTGCTGAGAAACTTACATGTTCTATTTTGCAATTATTTCATATTCCTCTGTTTTTTTTTAATCCTCTAACTACTCAAACTATTATAATATTGTACATGGGGTATTTACTTAGGGTTGACACTAAGTATCTGGTTAAAATGAAAAAGTCAATTTAGGAAAGCTTTTTGTCAAGTTTTATATAATAAAACATATATTCTCAATTAGACATTTTGGAAAAGCTAAAATCCCGCAGAAAAGCCTTCTGGAGTTGTTAGCAACAAATCGGAATTTAAATTTGAAACAAGAATGTTTGGTTATTCTACAAAATAATTTCCTTATTTCTTTGATTGTTTCATTGTTTCATATAATCTCATATAAAGGATACTTCGGGGTATATCAGTCATTACATTTTTTGCCAAAGATGTCACCACTCACTCTTAAGCTTTTACAGCTTGGGGTGACTATGCCAAAATACTTCCCTAAAAGAGTAAAGGCATTATATCATTATATAATGTCGTTTTTTAAAAATGCTTTAAACTACCTGTTCTGGGCAAACTCCGGCTGCAGGTCCTGGTCTTTGGGGTGGAAGAACTGGATCAGGTCTGCCGACTGGCAGACCCTCGGGTCGCAGCTCAGAAGTGCATTACAATATTTCTGCAGAAACTTCAGTCGCAGCAGAGACCTGGTGGGACCTTTCTCCCGGCCGCCCCTTCTCAGCATTCTGTCTGAAAGCACATAGGACGCGTAAAGTCAGGATCAACGCAGAAATACACTTTGTGACTCACATAAACTGCTGCTGTAACTACATACCTCGATATCTGGGGATGATTCTGTCTGATTGTTTCATTTTACTTGCAGGTGGGAAAGCTTTCTTCATTAGTTTCTGTCATAAAGAAAATGGGTAACAGAGTTGTTATTAATAACCAATAACCACACCACACAGGCGCAACACATGAGCAGCTGTTTACTCACATGCATTTTCTTAAATTCCGGATTTGTCCTGTAAACTACAATATCACTCTGGTCTGACCAAAGCACGGAGGTCATGTACATCTGGAAAAATTAAAATGCAGATGTTAATCACACTGTAGAGAAGAGGTCTCTTAATTATTATTTTTTCAAATCGCCACGCGCTCACTTTGCTCTTCTCCTTGTGCATGACTCCAATTAAACGCACGCTGATGGGATACCGCTGGCCCTCCATGAGGAAGCGAAAAGGAATAAAGTTGAGTGTTAAAGTTGTGAGGGTTCCTCTCAGACCGGCTCTGATCCTACTGCAGCTCAGGAGCTCGGCAGGTGTATTTATATTTGCTGCACCTGCGCAGGTATTGCGTCGCGGTATCACTGCGGAAACTCCAGCAATGTGCAATTTGTATTCACAGTCTTTATTCCAAATTTAGAGCACTTGTGTGGGCGGCACGTTTTTGTGGTTTTCAAATGATGTCTCTTCAGTGATGGAGAAATTTACTTTATTACATGTTGATGTAGCCTACATGAGGTGATCTGAATTTAGCAGAGGTTTATTTAGATAGGAAGCTGTTAGCTCTGGTGATGGTTCATAATCTTTTCCCTTCAGAATGTTTCTTCATGTCCTGGCCATTTGTCAAATTGTAATAGTCTTTTCTTTACATATATTTCTAGCTCCCATCTGTTCATTTTTAGTAATATCAATCACATAAAGAATTATCTTAGTTGTCTTAGTGCTGGCTGAACTATTAATTAATAGTCAAATGCATCAGTGTTAACAAGTAAGAAAAGAATCGGTTCTTAAAATAGCAGGCAGCATTGTTTGAGCTACATGAGGAAGTTATTGCGCATATTTTTCCACATGTCTTTCCTTTCTATTTTGTAGAAATAATGTTTCCTTCTCTCTTTGTTGGCTGCAGCACGTACGCCAAACATGATCCACATTCATTGGTCCTCAGCTATTTTTCTTTAGACTCTTTCCTGAATGTGTCTTCCCGGTTAATCATCAGCCTATTGATAACAACAGGTGGGAATTCCAAAATCTAAATGTATCATTACTATGCGCTTTCCTTTGATTTAGGATTTAGGAATGTGAAACTATAGCTTGGTCTCCAAACACCTACAGTAAATGGGCATTTATGTGATGCATGTGTGCTTTTAAGATATGTAGATAAAGATAAGATATACTTTAATGATCCCAAATTGGGACATTTCTTCGTTTCAGCAGCATGAAAATAAAGTATTGCACATAATTAGAATACAAAAGAGTAGAAAATAAACAATTATACAATATACATCTCAAAATAATAATAAAACAGAACTAAAAGAGTGAAAATATAAAAGTTGATCTGTAAACTATCTGACAAATAAAACATTGTTGAAGGGCAACTCAATATAAAAGTGGGATATTATTTACATTTAGTGCACAACAATAAGGGTTAGGAGTTGCCCTGTGTATTTGATATTAGATTTTTCACACCACTTATTAGTTGATTTTCATACCAGCCTCAATGTGTCAGAGACTATATGAGGTTCATGACCTCACATGCTGCAAAAGGTTTGAACAGTTTGTATCCTGACATGCACTTAAAACCCAGAAGGACTCAAACCTTTTTTTGTACATTACATTACATTACATTGCATTTAGCTGACGCTTTTATCCAAAGCGACTTACAATAAGTACATTCGACCAGGAAGATACAACCTTGAAGAAAACAGAATCATATAAGTACATCAGGTTTCATAGAGTCAAACATTTCAAGTGCTACTCAACTGGCTTTAGATAAGCCAGCCCTTTATTAGTATATAAGTGCTTTGTTAGTAATTTTATCGCTCGAAGTGGAGTCTACAGAGATGAGTTTTCAGTCTGAAGAAGATGTTGTAGGCTTGCTGCTGTCCTGATTTCAATGGGGAGCTCATTCCACCATTTTGGAGCCAGGTATAGCAAACCCACGTGTTTTTGCTGATGGGAACTTGGGTCCCCCTCGCAGTGCGGCCGATGCAGAGCGGAGTGCACNNNNCGGCAGCGCGCACCTTGGGGATTCTTGGAGGAATTAGATAATTCCTCTCACACATCCCTGAAACTGGCTTCCGCTGTACTTCTCGGAGACTTCAACCTCCAGACAGGGAAGATAGACGAACTAACATCTCTGTAAACACCTTTGCTTTCTCACTGTCTCCATCCCCACCAACTCATAACGCTGGCAATGTCCTTGATCTCAAATATTCTCAAGGGAACTGCACTACTTCTAACCTCTCATGTAAACCCGCTTATACACAAGCATACTCAGACACGTGCACTCTGCGCTCCTCTCATCTTTCTCTCTCCTCATCACATCAATCCCTCTCTCTGAGAGTTCTCCACCTCTGTTCCGCCAGCAACCTTCGTTCCCTCTCTCCTCTCTCTTTGTCCTCTCGCTCGTCTCAGCCCTTCTCTCTCTCTCTCTCTCGTTCTCCTCTCCCTCTCTGCTGCAGAACTCTCCTCTCTATCCTTCTCTCATCCTCTCTGGACTCTCTCTGTCCTCTCACATCTCGGCAGGCTCGTCGTCCCTCCTGCTCCCTGGCTAAATGACGCACTGCTGTGACTAATAGAACCATCCTTCGGGCAGCAGGGATGCGGCAATGTTGGAGATCACAGTCCATGGTGACCTCATAACCTTGCAGGCATCTTCTATCCTCTTTATCTGCTTCCATCTCTCAGGCAAATGTAATGACATTTCCTTCAACGAATAATACTTAATAATCCAATGTCTTCTATTCCAATCACATTAATAATATTAATAATCAATCTTCTCTACATTCTTGGTCCCAAAGTAACCGTGTTTCTTCGTGTCTATTGACTTTGTTAAGAATCAGTGCAATAGGGCGTGATGACTATTCCGCTCTGGGGGGGAATCTTTTTTCTGACGTCAGTTCACGTCAATTTGCGTGGGGTGCTACCAGACCAGTGCAATTCAGCCAGTCACACTGAGTATGACTTTCTCACTCTCTCACTCCAACTTGAGGTCTTGTACTGGCACTACCTCCATGCCCGTCGTATCACCACAGTCATATGATACACTCCACCTCAAACCGTCCTTCAGATCTATCGCTCCTGCTCAACAACACGTGTATTACCATCTCTGATCAACTCTATCATACTGTGTCATTCTCTACTGGTCTTGCTAACTAGTTACCATCGTGGTTACTTGAACATCGCTACAGTATTATTACCCAAGAGTCCTACCTTATTTACAATAATATCTCTGTAACACTCTTTCAGCCAAACGGTCTGGATGTTATCAATGCAGTTGTTTGAATTTTTGACTTGAGCCGTCCCTTCTAGGCACTGTCTTTAACGTTGTGACCGGATCATCTTGGCTTGTTCTCTCTTAAACTGCCTCTTCGGCTCCCACACCTCTTTTATTACGCTCTCACCAGCCTGTGTTGGTCCAGGCCATGCAACGGAGAAGTCCAGATGCTTGCCTCAATCCATTCACAGTCTCGTGAGGGTCCAACGTGCACACTGCTGCGCTCGGTGTTCCCTCGACAAATACCAATGGGATCTTCTTCGATAGTTGATTGTACGGAGACTAGCTCGACCCATTAGGTCACGGGAACATCAGAAACCATGATTAGAAGGCGCATGTTGTTTGTTCAGTCGCGATAAGTAAGTCGCACATGTTCTACCCTACTTTTATCATATCGAACATACATTCATCCATTGTGAGGCGCTAAGCGTCACTGCGCAGAGTCTCGTTGCCATTACACTTAACAAGCAACTGATATCATTTGCATTTATGGAGGCTGACGACTTTTATCCAAGCTGACTTACAAGTAAGTGGCTTCCGAGCCGGGAAGATACAACTTTGATGAAACCAGAATGCATATAAGCATGAGTGTTTCATAGAGCCAAAATTCAAGTGCTACTCAACTGGACTTTAGATAAGCAGGCCCTTTTATTAGTATATAAGTGCTTTGTTAGTAATTCATCGCTTCGGACGTGGAGTTGAAAGAGAGTGAGTTTTCAGTGTCTGCGCCAGAATGATGTGCATGCTATCTGCTGTTCTGCATTTCAATGAGGACTCTTCCCCATTTTTGAGCCAGGATAGCAAACCCACGTGTTTTTGGCTGATGGAACTTGGGGCTCCCCCTCGCAGTGCGGGTGCAGCGAGCTGTTTGGCTGATGCAGAGCGGAGTGCACGTGCTGGGGTGTACGGTTTAACCAATGTCCTTGGATGTAGGAGGGCCAGATCCATTCGCAGCATGGTACGCCAAGTACAGTGTCTTGAAGTGGATTCTAGCAGTTACGGAAGCAGTGAAGGAGCGGAGGAGCGGCCGTTGTGGGAGAATTTTGGAAGTTGAAGACCAGACGAGCCGCTGCATTCTGGATGAGCTGCAGAGGTCGATGGCACATGCAGGTAGACCAGCCAGGAGGGAGTTGCAGTAGTCTAGGCGTGAGATGACGGAGAGCCTGGACCCAGAACCTGCGCTGATTTCTGGTCAGCTGGGGACGTATCCTCCTGATGTTGTAAAGCGTGTATCTGCAGCAGCTGGGTTGTAGCAGCAATGTTTGCAGTGAAGGACAGTTTGTTATCCTAGGATCACCACCCAGGATTCCTTTGCAGTGTCTGAGTCGGCGGAAAACAACAGAGGTGCCGATGTTGATTGTTAGGTCAAGAGTGGGACAATCTTTTCCCGGAGGAAAAGCCAGTTCAGGTCTGTCAAGGTTGAGCTTGAGGTGATGAGGCAGACACCCACTGAGAGATGTCAGCTAGACAAGCAGAGATGCGTGCGACGACCTGGGTCTCAGAGCGGGGAAAGGACAGAATTAGTTGGGTGTCGTCAGCGTAGCAGTGGTATGAAAAACTATGCGGGCTAATGACAGATCCGAGCGAGTTTGTGTACAAGGAGAAGAGGAGGGACCAAGAACAGAGCCCTGAGGGACCCCTGTAGTTAATTGACAAGGGTCGGACTCTGACCCTCTCCAAGTTACCCTGTAGGTGCGGTCTTTGAGGTATGAGGTGAGGAGGGAAAGTGCAGTGCCTGAAACTCCAAGTTCTTGGAGAGTGCGAAGGAGGATCTGATGGTTCACCGTATTGAATGCAGCAGACAGGTCCAAAAGGATGATGACAGAGGAGAGGGATGCTGCTTTAGCAGTGTGCAGTTCCTCAGTGACAGCAAGGAGGGCAGTTTCTGTTGAGTGACCTGCCTTGAAACCAGACTGGTGCGGATCCAGAAGGTTGTTCTGATGGAGATAACAGGAGAGTTGTTTAAAGACAGCACGTTCAAGTGTTTTAGACAGGAACGGG